TTTATATTCTCCACATTCGCATTCAATTGTTCCAAGCAGAGATGGCGATTTGGTAGGGATAGGATTTCAACATTGGACGATTGATTGGGTTTAATTTGGTGATCTCTTCAATTTGTAAAAAAAGAAAGAAAAAGAAAGTATCATCGAATTCGGAAATTTTGTTTTATTTATACATCATATAACAATCCTGCTTTCCACAAACAAAAATGGAAAGGACTAGGGCGAGGACTCAAATCCAGACTCCATAAATTTGAATCTTGATAGATGATCTCACGCCAGTTCTTACATTCAGTTAGCTTAACTAAGTCAGTCCTGTAAGGCCGGCTATTTTTTTGACTTGGAATTAGGTAGCAAGGGTAGCTTCGTCATTTTAAAATTACAGCCTATGTATGTGATGATCATGCGCCTATTTAGCCGGAGGAACCAAACGGAACCTTGGCAGTGGGTAATTTTTGCAACAATTTTAATAGTTTAGGGGGTTAACTGTCAAAATAAAAGTTTAGGGGGGTTTTTAGGGAGAGAGAGTAAAGTTCAGGGGTTTTTTTTGCACTTTTCCCTAATATATACAAATTTACAAATGTATATATATATTTATATAGACATACATATAAAGGTAGAGGCTCACAAGAAACTGTGTTGAGCTACTACAGCATAACATGTGCTGCACATGCTAGGTTAATTAATTGTTGAAAGAGGGGTGACTTGGGTATAGTACTCACATGGAAGCTAACTCTTGAAATTGATTTAGTGTTTTTTTATTTATTTATTTAAATTAAAGAAATAAATTCATGGTTGGTTTTGTTGGATTTTAACTTGGGTCAAAACACAAAAAGTAGGTTAAAAAAACAATAGTAATAACTTGGGTAAAAACCTTAGGTTCTAAACTTTTTAACTACTATTTTTTTATTTTAATTGTTGATTTGAAAAAACTCAACTCACCAATGGAATCAAATAATTTATTTAATTCTTTAATCATTTTAAATAGGATAAATTATACTGACATTCTTTGAGGTTTGAACAAATTACATATCAATAGAATGTTTGACTTTTATTATTTTTATCTATTATAAAAGTATGAAATATCTTAACAGATCGTTGTATCGAGTAGTTGGATCATACTCTCTTACTATAAAAATGGCTGCATGCGCGCACCAACTATGAGAAATCCGCCAATCCACATGTGATGTGTGAACAATGACAGTTGTGTGCCATAGTCAGTAGCTAGATATGGATAAGAGGGCAGGGAATACATATGATGAGTTATAACAATGGTTAAAGAGCCTAACATAGTTAGGTTAAGAGATAATTGAGCATGCCATGACGTTGTTAGGATCTCATATAGGCCTTTATAGCCCTGGCCTGGTAGAAGGTGTCGTAGAGCGCATGCGTGAAATTTTATGGAAGTAAAAGTAATAAAGGCCAAATGCTCTGTCTTGTATAATTTATCAAAACATCAAGAAAAGTTAGTGTGATTTACGTTTTTAAATATTACTTTATAAAAGATTTTTCAATTAACATTTACAAGCAAAGATCATTATATTACAATATAAATTGGGAGTTCACACTCCACTTTTCTATGTTTGCACTCCACTTTTTTTTGTTTGATGTGAATGATAAAAAAATCCATATACTAATTAATGTATCATCCCTTATTTTATTATATCATAACACTATAAACTTTCGATAATTTAAAGTGACAATAAACCAATTGTCTTCCATCTTACCGGGCATATTTAACGCACCAACTAATTTTAGATAAAACTACCCCTTTCATAGTCATCTTCTTGACTCTTTTTCTTTATATACAAGTTATTCTTTTATAAAGTATCATTTTTGCAAAAAATTATTCTTTCAATAAAATGCTCTTTTTTTTTTAAAGAACTCTGTTGCAGTGAATGTTTTTTTTTTTTTTTTCTTTCTTTTTCAGTTGTCTTCAATTAATATTATATATTGTTAATCTTTCAAAAAAAAAAAAATTTATACCTTAATAAAAAAGGAGAAAATTTTTGGAATTTGAATTCTATGAATGTAGGTTTTGACAAAATACTTTTTTCTTTTTTTTTTCCATAAAATCTCTGTTATTGAAATTTTGTTGTCAAAAGCATTTTCTCATCAATAAGAAAAACTTAAAGATTTAAATACATTCCAAATTAATTCTTAAAAATCACATGAAGGAAAAAATTAAAATTAAACTCAAAACACACGATACGAAAAGAAAAATAAAAGAAAAAATTACCATCACCTGGCTCCAGGGGCATCTCATTATAATTTGGGGTGTTAGGTGAAAAATAAAAATTAATTTTTTCAATAGTATAAATAAAATTAGTTACAACTCAAAAACAAAATATACAAATATATATACACACAAATTTATAATAACAAAAGTTAATAAAATTAATTAAAAATAATTAAAGAAAAATAATCATTGAACTTGATTTAAAAAACCCAAATCCAATACTTTTACAATTTTTTTAATAGAATAAAAATGCTTGTAATGAGAGTGGGAGGAGAAGACTTGTTGAAAAGAAGAAGATAAAACATAAAAATAAAAATAAAAATAAAAATAAAAATAATATATATGGAAGGTTTTCACCATTTTCTCAAACAACAACGGGTAAATAGATATTTAATATTTTACTGTTGGTGTAACCTACGCAAAAATGTTTTTAGGGCTGATGTAGGAAATGTGAATGAGAGAGAAAGAAAGAGGGAAAAAAATATATTTAATGATACAAAATTTTGGGCTTAATATTAAATTTCTATATTGGTTAAGATTTTATTGTAAAACGTGAATGAGAGTAGAAAAAGTGAGGGGAAAAAAATCATTTAAGGATGTAAATCTTTGGATGCCAGTATTAAATTTACGTATCAATTATGCTACGTTTGGTGTGGAGGAATGGAATACCGTTTCCAACTATTCATTTGTTTGGTATACAACTTAAAATGGGAATGACCATTTCATTGGAATGAAAATCCATTCCACAACTAAACCTATGGAATGGTCATTCCATTCCCAAGTAATTTATTTTAAAAAATCGACTTCCCAAAACCCCCTTATATTCCAAGTCCAAAAATCACCATTATCTTCCACCACAATCATCTCCGCTTTTCACCACCACCCCACCTTTCACCATCGCCCACCATTTTCCACCACCACCACCGCTACCGCTACCGCCACCATTTGCCTCAACCACCACCGCCGTCTTTCACCACCGCTGCCTTTTACCACCGTTACCGCTACCACCTTCCACCACCACCATTGCCATTACCTTTCACCACCTTCCACCACTACCGCTGCCATTGCCTTTCACCACTACCACCATCTTCCACCACCACCACTGTTACCGCCTTTCACCACCACCGCCACCGCCACAGCCCACCACCACCACCGCTGCCTTCCACCACCGCTATAGCCACTTTTTACCACCATCGCCGCCGCCTTCTTCCATAACCACTAACAACGCCGCCATCGCCTTCCACCACTGCCATCGCCTTTTACCACCTTTCATCACCACCACCACCACCACCACCTTCCACCACCGCCACCGCCACCACCTTTCACCATCGCCACCGCCACTGCCACTATTACCACCACCGCCGCCGCCTTCCACCACCACCACCGCCACTTCCACTGCCTTCCCCCACCACCATAGTCACACCACTCTCTCCTTCCACCACAACCACCATACTACTGCCACCGCCTTCCACCAACACCACTGCCACCTTCCACCACCACTGCTGCCACCAATTTCCACCATTGCCACCACCACTGCTTTCCAACTCCACCACTTACACTACTACTGCTTTCCACCATCCACCACCACCACTGCCACCATTTATTTTTAAAAAATTATTAGAGAATATCATTTTGTTAATTTAATTTAATTTATTTGTTACTAAGAGGGATATTTTGGAAAATTCAATTAGAAATTTATTCCATTCTAAATTTTAAACTGGTCCAACCAAACACTATAATGGTTATTATCATTCAATTCCTACATATTTCATATTTACAACCAAACAATAGAATGAGATAGACCATTCCATTCCATTCCCACTTGCATTCCATTCCATTCTTGTATACCAAACGTAGCATTAGAGTTCAACGGAAGGAGGGAGGAGAGAGAGAAGAGAAAAAAAGAAGAAGTTATTTTAAAATATAAATATTTGAGGCCTAATATAAAATCGGAATGAATGAGGAGAGAGAGAAAATAGAAAAAAGAAGTTATTTTATGATATGAATATTTGATGCCTAATATAAAATCGAAATAAGTGGGGAGAAACAAAAGAAGAAGAAGAAGTTATTTTAGGATAGACCTAATATAAATTTTTATATTTATTAGAGTTTAACAATATTAGTAAATAATTATAACTTAATATAAGAAAATTTTTAAATTTTGAAATCTTTCTATTGGCTAGCGCTTTAGTCGATCGCCTAAGTCGGCCCAGACTTGAGTTGGCCCTGCCTGATTGATAAAGTTTTTATAATTCTTACATACTTCCTATGCTAATCTTCTATTGCCAATATTAAACTCTAACAAGAAACAATTGTGAGATTGTAAGTGACCTAAAACTTTAAATTTATAAAATAATAAATTTTTAATTAAAAAAGTAATTGTAATATTTTTTTAAAAATAATTAATTATTTATAAAATAAGAGATAAAAGTATCATTTTATTTAAAATGACACGCATTGCGGCCACCTATAAATTTATAATGATAAGTATCGGTAGGTAGTACGTTTTTATTAGCCTAATTTAATAATTATATTTAAATTCGACGAAAATAGCCACGTGGCATGATACGTGTAAAAAATTGTCGGTGATTCGTATAGTTGTACCTAAGTTAGGAAACAAGCAGGTAATTAATCAGTAAAGTGTCTCTAAAACACTCTCAAATCCCCTGATAATTACGATGCCCTGCCACTACCGTATGAAATTCAATTCCTCGGTACACTAATACGATCCGGATAAGAAAGACTAGTAAGTTATATACAGTAGTAAATAGTAATGCCCTAGATTCAAGCCATACACCTCTGATTTTCCCCATTATACCATTGTATATGCATATATCTCACTCTCTCTCCTGTCGGTGTTCAGATCTTCGGCTTCTACTGCCCTCTAATGCCAGTTAGGGTTTCTTCAGATCTATCCATGAAATTGTGAGTATTGTGGGTTTGAATTAGGGTTTTGGGCTTGGCATTTAGCAAGCAGCTATGCAAGAGCTTGGTGAATACGGAGTTTTGATCTATCCATGATTGTGGATGTGGATTTGGATTTGTACGCCGTCGTTTCCAAGTTCAGAGAGTGGTGTGTGGAGGAGTGCATGAGGGATCTTGGTAGGTTTCTATGCCTTGTGAAGAATTCAAAGAGATCAAGGTGGGATTGTGCGTTTGTGATCCGAAGTCGAGGACGGTGGGGCAAATGTGGCTAATACTCTCCTGAATTCACTCTCCTTTGATCACATCTGATATAGAATTAACAGAACGCACTTTTTGACTATTGTCTTCTGAATTTTTTGGATAAACAATAACAATGCAGCAAGATCACAGAAAGAAGGTCAGCTTTATTTTTCATCAACAACATTAACTGTGAACCTTTTAAACTCAAAAACATATACGGTTACATGTGTGGGAGAATTTTGAGACATTTTAAAGCTGATATATATGTATTTTATTAGCATGACAAGAATTGATCTTTGTGCATGTTGATGTTGAATAATTGTTTAATTGTTAATTGGAGACTTCTGTCTGGAATTTTTATTTGTCTTATGTTGATATGTAACGTATTCTAGGTGATGCTCTTGATATTATTTTTGAACTGTTTACTTAAATTTCTTTTCCGTTTCCATGTTATTGAATACCATTACAATTGGAATTCGGTTTCCAGTTGACGTGAGTTTATTTTCTTTTTCCCTTTTTTATTTTATTTTATTTTTGTTTTCTTTATTTTTTTTCCAAGTAGTTCATTCTTATTCTGGAATGATTATCCAAAAGAGAAATGCTTATGTTCCTTCTATTAAAGCATCTCTAGACTCTAATCCCATCTTTATAAATTATTTCAATCTCTCTTTCTACCAGAATCTGAGAATCTGATTCTGTTCTGTCAAGTGTTTATTCATCTCTCTTTCATTCATTGTAAATCCATATTTATTCATCTAATATCTTTTCCTTGCTTTTAAATAGGATTTTTGTATATTTCTTTTTCTATGTTTCTTTGTTTTCATATACTCTCCACTCTTAGAATTATTATTTATGGCTTGTTCGAAATGATTTGGTCCATATTCTTTCTTTCGGTAAGTGATTTGGTCCATATTCAAGTGTCTAAACTCTGGGTTCTAGGCTAACAAATTTGTTCTTAAACAAGGGGGTTTGACGTATATGATGCTATCTTAAGTAGTAGTGATCTTTTCTCTCAGTTCGTAACATGGTCATTTTCAATTGATTGTTGCATGGGAAGAAACACGTCTTAGACAAAGATCAAGTCTTAACTAAGCAAGGTTGTTTTTTGACCTGATAGGGAAAAAGGAGACAGGAAAAACATAATACAGCTCTATGCCTTGAACGTGACATTCTTTTATGTGCACTGAATTGATGCATGTGAAGTCATTTGAGATGAAGTAACCATGCGAATGTATTGACCTGCTAGGGAAAAGAAGGAAAAAGAGAGAAAAAAATCTCCAGCTCTATGCTATGAATGTGACATACCTTGATATAATTATAATCATATACCTGAACTGAATTTTCAAGGTGGAGAATGGAAAAGTACACTTGCAAACAATAGATACATTTTAGTTGTATAATTTTTATTTTTTTCCCTTAATGTAAATCTTTTTCACTTTGTTAGAAGTGGACCTGATCACATTCTTTGTTACAGTTATGATCATTGTGATTTGTATTTTACCGTAAAAGGTTTTCTTTTTTCTATTTTTATTTCTTATTTTGTTGTTATGCAATGATAAAAGCTCGTATTGGCAAGCATGAGGTTGGGTTTTTAAATTGTAGGGTTAATACTTTGTCAAATACCAAAATATTATTTAGTCTCCCACTACCACCACCTTGCATAGGCAGGATACAGTAGGTCAAACGAGTAAATTAATGTTAGGAATGACAACTAGTAACATGGATTAGGTTTAGTGGAATTTTTTGATTAACAATCTATACTATTGATCGTTTTTTGAAATATTATGTGTTTCTTACATAATGAAAGATTCTATAAGGAGAGGGAACTTGTGAAACGAACATGATTGAAATATATATATATATATATATATATTACAGGAAAGACAGCTTGAAAGTACGTAACAAGTAAAAGGATTTGTGTAATGGATGTGTTTGAACTTAACTGTCCATATATATTGTCTCTCTCTCTCTCTCTCTTCCCCCCTCTGGTATGTACCATGTCCAGTGGGTTGGTCATTTAAATTTGGTATCTTGTAATCTGATTCAACTTGATTTATTTGTACAGAATTCTGCAGAGATGGACTTCTTCTCTGAATACGGTGATGCCAATAGATACAAAATTCAGGAGGTTATTGGGAAAGGCAGCTATGGTGTTGTTTGCTCTGCCATCGACACCCATACTGGTGAAAAAGTGGCAATAAAGAAAATACATGATATTTTTGAACACATCTCAGACGCAGCTCGTATTCTTCGTGAGGTAAAGCTGCTCCGGCTTCTACGACATCCAGACATCGTTGAAATTAAACACATTATGCTACCACCTTCGAGAAGAGACTTTAAGGATATTTATGTTGTTTTTGAGCTCATGGAGTCAGATCTTCACCAAGTCATTAAAGCTAACGATGACTTGACGCGGGAACACTATCAGTTTTTCCTTTACCAGTTATTACGTGCTTTGAAGTATATTCACACCGGTAACTGTAACCTCCATTTGCTTTGCGACATTAAAACAATGCATAGTTGACTGATGCATACATTGTATTTGGCGTATTAGTTTATTGATGAAAAATTATAATGATAAATTCTTCTTTAACCATCTTTATGTGATAAATTTTTTTGATTGCTAACACATAATTTTACAGTTGAACTTAATAATTCTCCTCCCTGAACATATAAGTTTCTTTTTATATGTTTATATTTATTTATCATTTTAATGTTTTTGCATTTCTTTGTGTGCCCCAAAGGGGTAGTGAGTTGGGCTTCATTGTGGAATGTTAAGTTTATCTGATAATAGCTATTTGGCTGCAGCAAACGTCTATCATCGAGATTTAAAACCAAAGAATATACTTGCAAATGCTAACTGCAAACTCAAAATTTGCGATTTTGGGTTGGCAAGAGTTGCATTCAGTGATACACCTACGACAATAATTTGGACGGTATGCTGTTCAAATAATTTAGATGAGTGAATTTGCTACTTTCATTCTTTCAATAAAATCTATAAATTCTGTATTTTCTTGATAGGATAGGACTTTGATTTTTTATTTTCTTAATAGTATTGTATGCTTTTAGTTGGGAAGATTTTGTTGAGTTGCATTGAATTGTTTACAGGATTATGTTGCTACAAGGTGGTATAGAGCTCCAGAGCTTTGCGGGTCATTCTTCTCAAAGGTACCTCAGATATTTTGCATGTTTTGTCAATTCATAGACCTAAATATTTTGTGACCTTTAATTTTTTAAATTTTTGTGCGTTTTCATAGATCTTAGTTTTTCGTATTTAAAAGAGGGCAGAAGAGAGCACCAATCATCTCTTTCTCGTGATACGTGGTGCATCTTACTGTTCCTCTTCGGAGTTAACTGGGCTATGCCAGAGTTGGTAGTGGAGAGTTGTTTGTTTTTTGGCGTCAAAGTTGCTTTTATAAGAGAGTGTTGGGTGGAACCCATGTACTTCCTGTGCACATGGGTCCATCCCTTTTGGTTAATACGGTTTTGGGCTTTCTTACACACACACACACACACACATGCTTTTATAGACGTATTAATCAAATGAAAAAACAGAATCTAAAATACACACACACACACACACACACACACACACACATATACATATACATATATGATGATCCTATGTGTTGTGGTGCATGGAAAATTGTATTCTATCAAAAAAAATATTTATATGCATATATATACACACACATGATCAAAATTGAACGAGTGTACTATAATATATATATATATATATATATATTTATTTATTTATTATTAATGGTTCAATTCAGTCCTTTTGGATCCCAAACTTGAATAGAACAGTAATTAATGGTTCTTTAATTTTTGAAATTGGGAACGAACCATTCCATTGTATAAACAAACCAAACCGTACAGTTCAGTTCAGTCTTATCCGGTTTACCGGTTCTAATGTTTTTTTGTGCAGCCCTGGGGCTCCTTGATCACGTCTGTTTTCAAATTTTACGAAGTCCAGGTGATGAATTATACTCAGAATAAGAGGTTAGATAAAATGTGGTGTCTACAGGAGTGCAACATAAGAAAATAAAAGCATAAAATTGGAGGTCCATGATGCACTTGTGATGTTTGCAATTAATGTTGATGCCTCGTTAACTTCATATTAGTAGAGATTTTATTACACGGTTCAGGATAAGAGAATTGTTTTGCATATGTCACACAATATTTGATTTGCAAACTGTGTTTAGAGTATCTTGTTTTAAGATAAATATGGTAAGCGTATTAGTTCTTTGTTATTAAGATGAAGATGGCAAGCCTTGTAGTAGTCTATACTTTTGTGTAGGGTGATGTTCCACTAATGCTAGCTTATTTTCTTTTGTGATGGTATCATGCAGTATACCCCTGCGATCGATATATGGAGTATAGGCTGCATCTTCGCAGAGGTTCTAACAGGGAAGCCATTGTTTCCTGGAAAAAATGTAGTTCACCAGCTGGATTTGATGACTGATCTTCTTGGGACACCTTCAATGGATACCATTTCTCGGGTAGACAACTGTCTTCATTGCAACAGTATTGGATCATATTGCTCTACTTCAAAACCTTGCTCTGGAAACTTGATCTTAACATCAAGTTTCTTCTCTATTGAATTCAGGTTCGAAATGAAAAGGCTAGGAGATACCTAACTAGCATGAGGAAGAAGCAGCCTGTACCTTTTTCTCAGAAGTTTCCAAATGCAGATCCTTTAGCACTTCGATTGTTAGAAAGGCTTCTTGCTTTTGATCCGAAAGACCGGCCAACTGCTGAAGAGGTTTGTTAAGGCATAATAGATCCTTTACTTTGATCTTTACCATAGGCATGTGAACCTATAGACATGCTTGGCTGTTGCGTTTCTTCGATACTTTGCTGTAATTTCTTTTCTCCTTCAAGGATTGGAGCAATGTGAGGCTTTTATGATGTATTAACATTTTTGCTTTGTATGTGACAAAGTTGGAATTACTTTTGATTTTTGTTCTACCAGGCATTGGCCGATCCATACTTCAAGGGACTGGCCAAAGTCGAGAGGGAACCGTCTTGCCAGCCAATTACAAAAATGGAGTTTGAATTTGAGAGGCGAAGGGTAACAAAGGAGGACATACGGGAATTAATTTTCCGTGAGATACTAGAATACCATCCTCAGCTACTCAAAGATTACATGAATGGCGTGGAAAGGACCAATTTTCTCTATCCGAGGTTGTCTCTCTTTTTCTAGGTGCTTTTCATCTTTTTGAAATATCTTACTAGGTGTTGAATATATCTATACGCCTCGGTCCTAATATTTTTCCGCACCTGTCGTATGCAGTGCTGTTGATCAGTTCAGAAAGCAGTTTGCTCATCTTGAAGAAAATGGTGGTAAAAATGGGCCGGTTATTCCGCTTGAGAGAAAGCATGTGTCTCTCCCTCGGTAAGTTGACATCTCTTGCATTTTCCAGGTTTTTTTTTTTCTCGTTATACTCGTATCTTTACTTTTAAACATAAAATAAAAAGGTAAAAATAAATAAATATGAACAATTTAAATATGAGAGAAAGCATGTGTCTCTCCCTAGGTAAGTTGACATCTCTTGCATTTTCTTGTTTTTTCTTTTTTGTTGTACTCGTATCTTTACTTTAAACATAAAATAAAAAGATAAGAAGATAAGAATAAATAAATATGAACAATTTAACATGCCTTTATGTATGTGTGCATCAATAACCATGTATCAAGTTGACATTAAGAATTTGTCACATCAATGTGATTCTCCAAATTAACTTTTAATTTACATTTTATAATTAAAGGTAATGTTGATATGACATGATAACATCAATCAACATGATATTTGCAATGCATGGCATAGATAGAAGGAGCATGTAATCTAGTGGAATATATAGAAGGAGCATTTAATCTTATGGAATACTTTTTATCTTACATTATATAATTATGTTTAACTGACTAGAGTTGTTCTTATAAATTATCAACATAGATAGAAGGATATGTAATCTAGTGGAATATATAGAAGGAGCTTTTCATCTAATGGAATACCTTTTATCTTACAGTATATAATTATGGTCAACTAACTAGCGTTGTTCTTATAAATTATCAACCAATTTTGCGGCATTTAAATTTTTAACTTCATCCGATATCTCAACTAAATACAGTATTGCAACTGAAGTACAATTGTTTTGAAGTACTAGTTTATGAGTAGAATTTGATGTGTACGGTTTCTGAATCCAATGAGTCGTCTTATTAAAATTAATTTAGAGAGAGGATATTTATTTATTTATTTGATAACGAAATCCAAATGACGAAGAGAAATGTTGAAATTTCTGGTGCACCTAGAAGATGGAGAGAATGACAATGATTCTTCTTAGGTTTTGTGTTCCTAATGCCTTTTGGGAGCAACTACTGAAAGTCTGAAATAAGTGGCAATTTTGGATAAAGAAAAAGTGTGTGGGCCAGGACTTAAATATAGTTTGAGAAGGGAAATAAGGTACTGGACAATTTAACATATTGTCCATAAGAGGGAAATAATGTACTGGCCAATTTAACATATTGTCCGCAAGAGGGAAATAAGGTACTGGCCAATTTAACATATTGTCCATAATTTCACATCCAATCTTGGCCCAAAAATATGAGCTGGCAATCTGTGTGCATGTGTGGATAATTTTTTTTGGCTCCCTTGCATCAGGGGAACACAGTGATGGTGAAATATACATAATGAATATATTTTCAGAATCCCGTCTTCTTGTTCCGCACACTTCCATGCTCTTGTTTATCTTGGGTGCCTTCATAATGATGATGGCAAATTTTCCACTCCATTGATGTTTGCAGGTCTACCATTGTGCCGTCAAATACAGTTCCTCCTAAAGAGCCACCAAATGTTCCTACCTTTAAAGATCGGCAATGTGTAGTGGAGTCCTGCAGTCGGAACTCCAGAGATACAGATGGAATTCCTGGGAATCTATCAAGAACCTCGCTGGCACCACAAAGGATGCCACCAGGTACTCTACTGTTTTTTCTTCAGAAAATTGTTACTTTTACTGGTGTTATCTTTTTTTTCCCATTCAGGTTAAACTGTTTTTATTTATCTTGTTCTTGCTGCTCAGCAAAACCAGGTAAAGTTGTAGGGCCTGTTATACCAAATGAGAATGGGAATGTCATAAAAGAAACTTTTGATCCTAGAACAGTAGCCAGAAGCTCTGTCCTCCCTCCCCAGGCTATCCATGCTGTGTATTGTTACGGCAGGAGTGGCAAGGGAAAGCAGGAAAGATCTGCAACAGCGACGGAGAGGGACTTGGCTTTGCAAGCTAAACAAGTTCCTCGATGTGGGACGTCCACTATGTTAGCTTCAGATATAGCCATCAATATAGACACAAACCCATTCTATATGACGCGATCAGGAGCAACCAAGCTGGACCATGCTGATGAAAGAACTGCTATCGACATGAACTTGTTGCAGGCAAATGCTCATTATGGTGGGATTGGTGCCACTGCTGCCACGACATCTGCCGCTGCTCACAGGAAATTAGGGACCGTGCAATTTGGTTTGTCAAGACTGTATTAGATATTGAGGCGTAGGAATGGAGCAATTCATGTAGAGAGGAGGAAGGCTCTTTTGGGGGGGAGAAATGGGTGGGCTGTGTACAGAGTGAGAATTTGGATGCTTTCCTCATAGGAGCCAGCTTTCTCGGGTTGTTTAATGGACTGGTTAATGTTTGACCAGGAGAAACTACGTGTTAGTGAGGTACATCTTCAATTTCGTGAACTGTCTTGTGCCTTCCTCTTATTACCTGAACAAAGTCGGCATTCAATATTTGATTGTCCCAAATTAACACCTGAACAAAATTTGTACAGGCATTCGTGGGATAAATTTCTCTCTGAAAGTGATTTTCTTTTTTTTTTTCCCTTTATTATATAGTTGGTCCGTTACTTTTGTACAATACATATATATACACATATATATGTATAATATGTGTGTACGTACATTCAAAGGGGCATATCAAGTTGATGAATTTGCCAGGACGCAGTTGTTTTGGTGATTATATGACCGATATTTGACCAATCGTCCAAATGATAATGTGATGGATTTTGTATGTTACTTTCACTAATGGAAATTACTCTATAAATTATTGAAGTAGAAGACTGTGATGGAGTATTTGCTTTATTATTATTATTATTATTATTTTATCCCGCAAATAACTACATCTAATTTGTTCCAGCAAAAACTTGAACCCTCCTCAACCAGCTCTATAGCCCTTTGTGATGATTATTTGGTAGAAAAAAATTGCCTCTTACCTCCGCAAAATGGATGGAAGCATCAGCACATGTGCTTGAGCCAAAGTTGATAAATCATTTTAATTTAGAAAATCAGATTAAATCCAAACCAACCATTGTATTATTATCAGTTTGTACTGGGTGGTCCAAAGTAGATGAATCATCTTAAAGAAAGAAAGAAAGCTTTGCACACATGCCAGTATACCCACAACCAATAGAATGGTGGTATCCTAAGACAGACATGGCAACATTAATTTGTTCATTAAAGATGAATAACATTTTCTACAAAATAACTGGAAACATCATCCATCGTGTTTCTTCTAAACTACTCATACTCTCCTCTTCATGGAAGCTATAACAACACTACTGTACTAGTAGTAAATTTACTGTATATACAATGACGATGATTTAATTAAGTCTTTTTTTTTTTCTTTTTTTTTTTAAGAGCAAACTCAAGTAAATAGTTTTTGTATAGAAGGGAAGCCTTCGGCTTTAGAATCAAGTAGAGGAATGTAGGCAGTGGGTGAGAATGAAATGAATAAAGTATTATTAACCTCCAAGCTTGGTGAATTTTTGGGCTGACCCACCCAGCTAGTCTTAATTTTGGGCTCACCCACCCATTTGCAACCAATATTTTGTGGTTAAATACACTCTCCTTCTCTGAAGTTTGGCTTAATTACACTCTAAGTGAAACTTTTCAAAAATTGGCATTGACCTCCCTCTAATGATATGTGGTTAGATTTTGGAATGATTTTACCATTATACCCTCAAATAATTTGATAATAAACCATTAAAAAAAACCTAATTTGAACAAAGAAATAGGGTAAATTACACTCAGACCCCTTGAGGTTAGGTCATATTTCAGGTAGATGAAGATTTTGGTTTTAATTTTCACTTACATTGGAATTAGTGGTTTAGTATTTCACTTACACCCCAAATGTCAATTTTTGGTGGGGTCAGAGTACTTGTAGGTGTTAAATGACTATATTAGTCTTTGACCTTTTGTTGACTATTTTTAAGACTAGACTACCCTAACATACAAAATAATTTACACATAAGCCATCTTCTCTCTCCTCCAATCTCTCTGCACAGAGCCATCAAAAACGAACTACAAATACTACTTCCGTGTAGTCCTCGCAATGGACCTCAACTACAAGGATATGGTCACCGAGCTATCCACCGTCCCCATTGTTGGGATTTATATGCCCTGGCATAGCAAATTCCTGTTTAGATTAAAGTAACATATATTCCTGACGTTTCTGAAATATTTATGTTTTATACAATTGGTGAATTCAATGTATTATATTTCGATTCATTATAGAATTGATAGTGTCCATTTGATTACAAGAAATATTTATATATATGTATGTGATGGCAATCAATGCATGATATATAAATAGTAATCATAAATGGTTCATAGTCGGTAATTATGGATGGACTCATAATTAATTAAGATTTGAACTGGATCCGCGTTAGGTTGAGATATATTGCGAGAGCCGTCGTATGCAATTGCTCCCTATCACCGTCATGGCATTTGACTCTTAAGCATGAGAAAATTATAGACTCTTTTATTAATTAATAATTACTTTGATTTGTTCGGCGGATTTTTCGGGATCCTTAGACCGACACTTTGGGTAGTTATGTAATTAATAGTTAGAGGGTTATATTTTCAATATTTGCATCATTGTTACTTGTATTTATTTTGTATTGATTATGGTTGATCACAAAGTAAATTCGAAGGCCTTCGTGTGTTTTTAGACAAAATGATTTATTATATATTTATTTATTTAAATTATTATTTTTGTCAAACAAATGTTTTATTGTGATCGAGCCAGAAATAATCAAAGGTACCAAAATAAATATATTAATTAAGTAGTCGGATTGATGGCTTTATTTATCCGATAACTAATTATGCATAGAGGGGTCAAAGTGTAATATTGACTTAGAGGTTATTTATTATTTAATCGGAGTTCAATTAATTTCTTTTAGTGGAGTAGAAATTAATTTATGAATTAATTGAATTGGGTCCATGGACTGGGCCAATTATTAATTCATTGTAGCCAATAAAATAATAGGCCCAATGGATTCCCATTCATAGCCCAACTTGATATTGGAATCATATTAGATTTGAGACATGTGAATTAGAGATTGAGAATGATTTGTTGTTTCCTTTTCTTTATCTTTATGTTGCCTATAAATATACATGGTCTATGTATATTTTTAGGTGTGATTTTTAGAAGAAGGAAAAAGGAATTTATTTTCTCTCTCTAGAAAATTAGGGTTTATATTCTCATCTAATGGAGGCTCTTACAAGCCTAATTTTCCAAGGTTATTCATGGAGGCTTATGAGTGATTCCTAAAGACAAAACAATTACCAAGAAGATGGAGATCCAAGGAGAAGGCATCTTGCTAAGGGATCTACAATAAGTGAGAACATTCACTTTAGAGGAAAGATTTAAAGGTTTACTCAGACCTTTGATGTAAGTATTCAATCCATTAATTGAATGATATATCATATTTTTATTTTTGTATAAAACTTGTCTCTATGTGATGAATCAAGATCTATGAATCAAAATCCCTCGAAAAGTTTTTAAAACTTGCACGTTTCCCAACAGTGGTATCAAAGCATGGTTTGATTCATTACTAGAGATCATGTTTTTATCAAAATTCATCATTCATGGATCCAATTTTGATATGCATATATATTTATTTATTAATGTATGTTGATGTATGAATTAATATATTGATATATATTGATATATAATGATGTATGTATAATTGTGAATGAATGATGATGTATAGTTGGGCCATGGATGAAGCTTATAGGTTAAATAAATGTAATTTTATCTTTGGATGAATGTAATTAAGGCTTTGATTTAGCCGTTTGAAAGTTCAATGATGTAATTTAATTTTTCCCATTGTATTTCAAATTGTAAATTTATTTAAAGCCATGTAATATTCATCAAAGGGTGCTATGAACCTTCAAGAAGGTCCAAGAGGGTTAAATTAGGCTTCAGAAATTTTCTGGGATTTTTTAGAAATTTTTCTGGAATTTTTTAAAGCCTAATTTAATTTCTGGAATTTTTTTAATTAATTTTTGGAAATTTTTCAGCGATTTTACGGCGGCCGGAAAGTTGCCGGCGACGAGGGAAAATAATCCAGTGGAGCAGCGCCCATGGTACACTGAAGAAGATAACCAATTCACAAGCGCGTGAGGTATACGCGCCAAAGCTGATGGCAAAATTGGCATTCTGGCATGTGTAATTCACGCGCCAGAGAAGAACAAGCATTCCGGCGCGTGAGGAACACGCGCCGGACAAAGTCCACGGATCCAGGAGCGTGCAGGTGCGTGACACGCGCCTGCTTCCAACCACACGCGCAGCTCACTCCCACACGCGCGTGGGAGCGCGTGAAAGGCCCTACCACCTCCCTCCAGCGCGTGCATGCGCGTGGGGAAAGTTGTGAGCGCGTGGTAGGCGCGTGGGGGCTCATCCAGGGTGCGTTTGACTGTGTTATTGACTCCTGCAGGTGCGTAGGACATTACAGTGGACCTCCTGGCTTGTTTTAATACTTATTTAGTTTTTAATGTTAAAAGCTAAATCCATTGGCCATTTTATCTGCTTTATCATTTATTTATTTATTTATGTGATATATGTGATGCATGAAATAATTAATTGCTAATTATTATTGTTCATGCATTGGATCCATGATATTTAATTAAAATGACTTGATTTATATTAATTAAATTATGAAAATTAATTGGATTTGATTACTAATTAATTTGAGGGCACTTATAGGGAAAAAAAAAATTTATTTTTGTAAATTATTTTTAAAGTGTGCTTCAAATTAAATATTAGTGAATCGTTGAAAGTCCAAATATTTTCTAAATTTAATTGGATTAAAATCAAGACGTTTTGCATGCATTATATCATGTAAATGAATAAAATGAAAACTCTAATTATGAATGATTAAAAATTGAGTGGGAGCGGGGATTTTTATACATTACCCCATGGCCTTCGTTATTAAAACCATTGTAATTAGATCTTCAAAAATAAGGCCCCACGTATGATTTGAAGAGTCTTAATATTACAAGAATGGTTATCTCATGAAAATAATAATATTAAATGTTCATTGTAATTAGATCTTTAAAAATAAGGCCCTACGCATGATTTAAAGAGTCTAGATTATAATAACAAGATATTTAATGTTTTATTTTTCATTAGAGCATTAATAACGTTATACACTCAATCTAAAATCAATAGTGTTAGCTCCCCAACGGAGTGGTCTATACTAGGTGATTTGAGAAAGGCTAAACACAATCGGGAATCATTTCATATAGATAGACAATGCATTGTCTTAAGAGATATGGAAATGATGGGATTTGTCCGCCAATAGCAATAATGAACTTCGCCAACCGAATAAGTTATTGGCGTATTGGTTATTCGATTTTTCATGCAGTGGTTAAGGGACCCACATACTATTTTAATGGAAGTGCTCGCCTAATAGTAAATGAATCTCAACAATAGTAATAATGAACTCCTCCAACAGGATAAGTTATTGACATATTGATTGGTTGATTTATTATACTATAGAGTTGAGGGACCCGCATTAATTAAAAGGGATTGTTCACCAATAATGATAATGATCTCTTGTTCAATTAAGATTTATTGTATTATGTGGTTAAGAAGCTCATTTTAATTTTAAATATGCATGACAATATTAATAATTCACCTTGCATATTGTATGAATGCATTTATATTCAGATTAATTATGTCTAATCCAGTTTAT